TGATAAAAAAAAATGTATTTACTTGAGTTAGATATACATCTTAAGCTATCATAACTGATAGACCAACTGAGTTGAATCATTCAATCAGAATACATAGCTTAGTGCTATTATAACAAACCTGCCAAATAATATATTATTATTATTATTATTATTATGTTGTTGTTGTTGTTGTTGTTGTAAATGTGACAAAAATCGGTGCCCCTCTCCCCTCCATCCTGGACATTTTCCTTACACGATGCTCCAGCAAAGCCAACAGTATCGTGAAGGACCCCACCCATCCCTCCCATAGTCTCTTCCAGCTCATACCATCAGGAAGACGGTACTGGACCATCAGAGCCCACTTCGCCAGACTGCTCAACAGCTTTTCCCCCAGGCTGTGAGAGCCCTGAACTCAAATCACCCCCCCCCCTCCCTTCCAGCTCTTCCGCTAGGCTGCTCGACAGCTTTTTCCCCCAGGCTGGAAGAGCCCTGAAACTAAAACCCCCCGCCCCCCTCTGAAACCCCATACAAACCCCCTACCTCCTGAAACATGGACCATCTCACCTCCTCCACCCCCCAAACACCCCCCAACCTTACCACATCACAGGAAAAACTGTCTGAAACTTTCTTTCTTTTTTGTGCAATTCGAAGTGTGCTACACAAAGGTGAGTGGGCCTGTACAGACCACCTATAGTAACACACTCTCCTCTATGCACACTACACACTTTTCACACACACTTCTGTGCGTACATAATACAAAAGACTCAGTAATATGTGTATGTTTATATGCTCATGCACTACAAATCATCTTGCACTGTTCCCCAGCAAGCTGCTTGACTTACAATGTTTCTCTTTGCACATGTACAGTATTTATGTGAAGCATAGGTATAGTTTGTATTTTTTAGTTTATGTATAGGTAAACATTTATACATAGTATATTTATAGTAAAAATCTGTCAGTAGGTTAGTTGTGTATAGTTTTGTACTGTTTTACTTCATTGTTGTATGTCTGTATTTATGTAGCACCGTGGTCCTGAAAAGGCACGACATTTCCCCACATGTAGCAGAATGACAATAAAGCTCAACTTGAACTTGAACTTGAATACATCATGTTACAACTAAATTAACACATATATCCAATAATTACAGTTAATAATATATTAAATGTTGTATCATTTACATTTACATTTAGTCATTTAGCAGACGCTTTTATTCAAAGCGACTTAAAAATTAGGAAAACAATAGAAGCAATCAGAGCAACAAGAGAGCAACAATATTCAAGTGCTGTGACAAGTCTCAGACAAGCCTCAAAACTGTTAAGGATGAATTAATGATAAATTAATAATGTATTAATGATGCTTAAAATATTTATCTCTTCTATCTAGTGTAAATAAAGCATTTGACCATCAGATGCAGATACAAACAACGTACTCAGGCCTTCAATTATACCGGAGAACACATTCTTTCAGAAATCATGAAATATACCTGATAATCATGGTGCCAATTCTGCCCAATAATATTAATATGTATATATATATAAATATAATATAAAAAATATATAAATGTCTTCAAACAACAGAGTATCATCAGAGCTTTCCCGTCAGAAAGCCATGCTGTCCTCTGACTACTTCCGACGGAAGTGACTTCAGCAGCAACCACGTGAATGATCAGACATGCGCAGATATTTGCTATTATATATATGTGTGTGTGTGTGTGTGACCCTGGACCACAAAACCAGTCTTAAGTGTCAATTTTTCTAAATTGATTTATACATCAAATTAGCTTTCCATTGATGTATGGTTTTGATATGATAGGACAATATTTGACCGAGATACAACTACTTGATTGTCTGGAATCTGAGGGTGCAAAAAAAAAATCCAAATAACGTCCTTAGCAATGCATATTACTAAGTTTTGATATATTTAGAGTAGGACATTTATAAAATATCATCATGGAACATGATCTTTACTTATTATCCTAATGATTTTTGGCAATAAATAATATAAATCAATAATTTCGACCCATACAATGTATTTTTGGCTATTGCTACAAATATAGCTTAAGACTGGTTTTCTGGTCCAGGGTCACACACACACACACACACACACACTCACACACACACACACACACACACACAGGTTTGTTTTTATGGTTTATGGGGACTCTCCATAGGCGTAATGGTTTTTATATATATATATATATATATATATATAGTTAAAGCTGGTGTATGGTGGTCTATAATACAACAGTTGAGAAAATTATTATTAAATTATTACATTTTTCTCTTCTGACCAGTAAATCTCTGGGTTCATTAAGTTATACATATAGGCATCCTTACGTGTGATGAGATGTTAGACCCTGGCTTTTTGACTTTAGTGAAATGAACAGGAATAAAAGTAATAATGAGTAAATTTAATCAGTAACTTACATGAGTTAGAGAATGAAGCTTCCTTTCATTGACTCCTCTGAGAAAATGTTGTAGTCTGGTTCTTCAAGTGAATCACCAATGCAGTTGAACTAATAGAATACTGAATATAATATAACTATAGATACCTGCATTATGTATTTAATTATGCATTTATTTTCATACCTGAGCTGTGTCTCATAGTTCCTTCGTGACAAACTGCATTGTGAAGACACTGTAATATTCTGGCAATACTGGTTAGTTGTCATGGGAGGGTGAGTGGGCAGATCATGTGTTTAGTGAGAAACAAATGACAGCAGCTTCACATATTGTGTGGGTTTTTCATGAATTGCCCTTTCAAATGGTTTTCAACTATTAAAAGTTCCCTTTTTTTTTACACTGAAAAGTCACCTGCATTGAGTTAACCAGTGTATAAGCATGGTAACAATTTAAACGTTTTTTTTTTAAAGCCATTTGGGTTATGAGGACAAAGGAAGTGTTCTCATAAACCAAATAACAAACAACAAAACATACAAAATTGTGTTTTTGGAAATTCAAAAATGTCAGAAGCTGTGAGGGTTATGTTTAGTTGAAGGGATAGGGTTAGGGAATAGAAAATTCAGTTTATACAGTAGTTCTGTTGAAGGTCAGATAAGTGTTTGATGAAACAGATGCATTTTAGGATTATTGACCTTTAAAGTTTCCTTTCTCATAGTCATCTGGGAAAGTTTCTGTTCTGTTGTTGTATCATGAGACCTCATTCTGTAGTAAATTACTATTGGGAATTGTATCACACACAATCTTGCTGTCATTGCGTCTCCAGCTCACATCAGAGAAGTCTTGAGGTTTAAGATCATGTTCAGTGGAGGAACCACTGAAACACCAATAACAACATTATTTAATATAAAACATTAATACTTGGTGTGAGAAAACCAGAAATACCGTGATTGAAAAATCAGAACATTTGTGTTGTTTGTATTACTGCATTGTTGTGTTTTTGTATTATATAGGCTAGACAAAATACGGTCGACTTGCTGTCACGAGCTACGCTCCCAGGAGAATGGAGACTCCATCCCCAGACGGTCCAGCTGATTTGGAGACATTTCGGAGCTGCTCAGGTAGACCTATTTGCGTCTCCAGAGACTTCTCACTGGCAATTGTTTTACTCCCTGACCGATGGAACACTTGGCATGGACGCACTGGCACACAGCTGGCCGTGGGGCCTTCGCAAGTATGCGTTTCCCCCAGTGAGCCTTCTCGCACAGACACTGTGCAAGATCAGGGAGGACAAGGAGCAGGTCCTCCTTATGGCGCCTTATTGGCCCACTCGGACCTGGTTCCCGGAACTAATGCTCCTTGTGACAGCCCCTCCTTGGCAGATTCCTCTGAGGAAAGATCTACTGACTCAGAGATGGGGAACCCTGTGGCACCCACGTCCAGACCTCTGGAAACTTCATGTCTGGTCCCTGGATGGGACGCGGAGGTTCTAGGTGACCTACCCCAAGAGGTAGTTGACACCATCACTCGGCAAAAGCACTGTCTACGAGACACGCTTACGTCTTGAAGTGGAACCTGTTCGTCGAGTGGTGTTCTTCTCACTGAGAAGACCCCCGGAAATGCCAGATCAGGGTCGTGCTTTCCTTTCTGCAGCAAGGGTTGGAGCGAAGTCTGTCCCCCTTCACCCTTAAAGTTTATGTCGCTGCGATTGCTGCTAACCGTGACCCCGTGGAAGGGAAGTCGGTAGGGAAGCATGACCTGGTCATCAAGTTCCTTAGGGGGCGAGAAGGTTAAATCCTCCCCGGCCTTCCTCTATACCCTCTTGGGACCTGGCTCAAGTGCTCAAAGCACTACAGCAGGGCCCATTTGAGCCTTTGCAGTCAGTCGAGCTAAAGTTTCTTTCAATGAAAACTCTGCTCCTGCTTGCACTGGTCTCCATCAAGAGGGTAGGGGACCTGCATGCTTTTTCGGTCGATGATTCATGCCTAGAGTTTGGGCCGGCTGACTCCCAGGTAATCCTGAGGCCCCGGCCCGGCTATGTGCCCAGGGTTCCTACTACCCCCTTCAGGGATCAGGTAGTGAACCTGCAAGCGCTGCCCCCAGAGGAGGCAGACCCAGCCCTAGCTTTGCTTTGTCCCGTCCGAGACTTGAGATGCTACGTAGACCGGACGCAAAGCTTTAGGACCACAGACCAGCTCTTTGTCTGTCACGGAGGCCGGCAGAAGGGGAATGCCATCTCTAAGCAGAGGATGGCCCACTGGATTGTGGATGCCATCACCCTGGCTTATCAGGCACAGGGTGTGCCCTGCCCGCTCAGGTTGAGAGGTCTGGATGCTTTTGAAGTTAAAGCACAATAACCACAAAACTTACTATGGGTTTGCCACAGTAACCATATTTTTACAGTGGTATTTGTAGTTAAAGCACAATAACCACAACACTTACTATGGGTTTACCATAGTAGCCATAGTTTTACTGTGGTACTTGTAGTTAAAGCACAATAACCACAACACTTACCATGGATTTACTTCAATAAGCGTAGTTTTACTGTGGTATTTGTAGTTAAAGCACAGTAACACGACACTTACTATGGATTTACCTCAGTGACCGTAGTTTTACTGTGGTATTTGTAGTTAAAACACAGTAACACAACACTTACTGTGGGTTTACCTCAGTGACCATGGTTTTACTGTGGTGTTTGTAGTTACAGCACAGGACCAGCAACACTTACTATGCTTTTACCACAGTAACTGTGATTTTATGGTATACTATTTGTAAAGCACAGTAATCACCATGCTTTCCACACCTTTAATATGTTTTTGTGAAGTAATTGTAATTCAATATTTTTTTTCTGTCTTGCAGTTACGTCATATCACATACTCCAGCAGCTCTTTTAAGAAGCCATCTCTTGTAAAAGCCATCACTTGTTCCTATTTTTCGGAACTGTAATCCATAATTTATTTACACATAGTTTTGCTCTCTCTCTTTCTGTGCTTCATCACACCCGCCCTCATGTTCCTTGTGTTGTTTGTGTTGGGACTTCCTGTTATACTTCCTGTTTCCTGTGCAATGTTTAAAGTTCCCTCTGCTGATTAGACTTAAAATCTGAAAAACTTCTGAAAAAGGGTGTGTAGACTTTTTATAGCAGTGGTTCTCACAGTGTAGGACACGCCTGGGTGCATGGGTACTGCAGGGTGGCACGGGCCATCAGCAGAAAAAGAAAATAAATAAATAAAATAGTAAACATCCAAGAGTATAAGTTTTTTGACAGAATGGGAGATGGATCGGTTTGTGAAAGGGAAGAGAAAAGCCATTGATGAAAGTGCACAGACCCAGGCAAGTGCTGTTCATTCAAAAGCTATGCAGAAAATATGACGAGGTTTCCAATCATCATGCATTAAACTCCCATGTTACCTGAATAAACATCACACAAAATAACGATACAATGCAAAATAAATCAAAAGTCATCAAAATCTCACTCCAGTCAAGCTACCAGTGTTGGCAACAAAAAAAAAAAAAAAAAAAAAAAAAAAAAAGGCTATCAATATTTAAAGAGAGAGGAACAAACAGGTCACACAGCCTTCTCAAGAATTTTCCACTCAAATTTTATCCTGTTGGTTTATCGTCATATCAGCATATAGGCTGACTATAGTTGTGTGTTTCCTTTATGGTTATTTTAACCAAATTCATACTTTTGTTTTATATCCATTTATTTTCATTGTTATAACATTAATATTTGTCCTCAGTTTGACATAATATTCATCTAACAAATGCCTTGCTTGCAAAAGCAGAACATGTTGTATTCTATTGAACATAAAGCTATGTAATATGTTCTCATACTGATCAGACTGCTTCTTAAATACAGACGCATCTCATTTATATTGCAGGTGAGTCAGATGAGGTGTGTCAGCTGATGCCATTGTTTGATGTTTTACATTCACTAAGGCACCAGGATGCTGGAATTAGAACAGATTCGGTAAATGATGTGCATTTCAATGTTAACATTACATAGGGCCAGATTTAACAGCTTGCGCCAGGACAAATCCCTTTTTTGATGTTAAAAAAAACTACTGTCAGGATATACTTAGGAAGACAAAAAGTAAAAAATTAGAATAAAGATGTGAACATTGGCATTTTTGCAGCTGACCTTATTGCATATGCATTTGTAGGAGTGTCCCAGATGCAAAATTTATGGGACAATAGTATTTAAATAAATCACACAACATGATTTAATAAGGTTTGTGGTAGTCAGTTTGCTGGTATTTGTGCCCATTCACTCAATTCTACCTTTGTTAAAATTCATGTTTTCTCCAATTTATCCAATTCTGCTTCCACTTTGGGGCTAATTGCATAAGACCCTGGGCGAGCCTTAAGGAATTTTGGGGACATGTCCAGGTTTTTTATAGCATAAAATTCCAAGGGTATTTCCCCCTGCCTTTCGCATTCAAACAATGCATGCCTTCCGTTTTGAACACGTAGTCCAGCCTCTGTTAGTTGATGTCTTTTGCAGTTGTATTTTTGAGAACAGTCGCTTGTAATCAGCTGTGGAGATGACAGATAAAGCAGATCCAGTGTCTAACTCCATTTTGAGTTTAACTCCGGACACTTCTAGAGTGAGCCAAATTACTCTACGGTCTGCCTACTTAATACTGTTTAGTTCCAGGCAGGAAAGGTCATCTGTACCTGGACCTGTATTTGTTTAATTTTCAGTTTCCTGATGCACAGGGGCAGATTTATGTTTCGCTTTATACTTGTCTTTGTGTGTCTTCCGCTTTTCCGTTTTGTAGACCCTCTCATTGTGCTCTCTCAAAGTAGCTTCTCCTCTCTCTTTCATGTGAAAGAGACGCTCTTTTTGCTGTCTTTCATTCTTTATTTCGTTTGCATCCAGATCCTGCGGTCACATCAGTAGTTGTCGATGCAGACCTTGTCGCCAGTTTATAGTGTATGTAATAAGCACAGTGCTGACAGACAATAAATCCCTTGGCACAGTGCAGCTATTCAACATACATTATTTTCTTAACTGTTTTTTTAAAAGGATCTTGAACAAAAACACTATTACTTTATCACCACAAGGGGGCAGACTTTTATCACAGAAAGCTATGACACCTACAGATACAGTATATACATTACAGAGAATAAGCGGTATTGAGGATGGACAGGTGGATGGAGCTTAAAACCAGACTTTCCCAGAGGAGTATGAGAGATGAA